CGCGTGCAAGTCAGCGCGTGGAAAAAGTTCACGAAGACACAATGGCGAACATTAGAAACATATAATTTTGCAATTTACAACTCGTACAAAACGATTTACACAAAAACGTAGTTTTGCAATATTCGTACAAATCTTTCTCGTTATATGTATATAAAAAAATATTCATAAGATTTTAATACAAAAAGATTCAAAATTCTTTTTTGAAAGTGAAGAGCACGTGCGTTATCTTGTTCAGATTTAATTACTTAAGTAAAAATGAGTTTTATACTAATTAAACGTTCTCCAATCCCATTGCGAGAGTACGTATAGGCGCGTATATAGCTTGTAATTGTAACATGTTGCGAAGACGACTACCATTTACTGAAAATTTACAACATTGTTTCGCTTTCACGCACAGTTTATTTTTCACTGACTGTGATCGCGTGCAATTAAACGCGCGAAGATAAGTTACGTACTCGATCATTTCCTCGATGTCTCCGGATTCACGATCATTACGCGGTAGGGCAAGTTTGGAAACTGGTTGTTTGGACTAAACAACGTGTATTGCGTGCTCACACGCCAGGTGTAATTTTCCGCATCGACGAGTCGTCTGCCGATGGCGCGGCGCCGTCATCATTTTTAGGAGTCCGAGGAATTATCGCGAAAAATCATAATTTTCGTCTTTCGCGCTCCCCGAATAAAGAGTAAATAAACGTCGTAATTACGTCGTAATTACCGTTCCTCGACTCTCGACCCCTTTAAACGAAACGTGCGCGCGAAAAATAAGAAAAGCGGGCTACGCGGACGTCGTACGCGGATGAAGAAGTGGCGAGCTGCAACTCTCGCGAGCTAATTAACGTCTTTTTGCGTCGTTAACGTTTAAGCGAGAAAACGACGTCGACGATAGCGCAAACGCAAGGTATGTTAATGGACAACGATAGCAAATGTGCCCGGTAGCGTTCCCCTTGTGCTTTATAATTCGTGAAACGACCAATTAACGTTCTAGGAAACGAAGAGTAGGTGGTCCCTTTTTCGCTCGTCTCCTAAGTGGTTGTCGAATACACATTTCGAGACCGCCGCCGTACGAGTGGCGTGTTTACCGGTCACAGGTCCGTTTTCAACGCTCGTTCTTTCAAGAGGTTTCTTGAGACGATTACCTCTAATTGTTATTTCATGTACAATACAAGCAAATTAAATTGTACGCGTGATTCTACAAAAACAAAACATGTTATTTCTTGAATGTAACTTTTTCGTATTTTACTTATAAAAAAATATAGAAATTTTCCTCGGAACATATGAATTTTATATGGCCGTTACATATGGCCGTAAACAAGAAATCATTAAGTTCAGACAGCGGACAATAGAGATGTAGGTACGCCGCGGAGAACGCAATGTCAAGTTTAGGGTTAAAGACCCCCTGACAGAGCCCATTAAAATCCCCGCAGCATATGCAATCCGTATCGCCTCACATGACTCGGCGCGGTATCTCGCGTCGTCCACCAGGAGTCGGCAAACTATGACTCGTGCGTTTTCCCAGCACAAAGGCTCTCCGCTCGCTCGCTCGCAAGGAGAATCCCATCCCGTCCCATCTCACCCCGTCTCCTACAAAACGAGACTCGCCGATCGCGACGCGAGATGCGTCTTATCTGCGCTGTACACTGGAGAGCTTCTCCGCTTCTCTTCCGCGACGAAAGAGGCGAAGAGCACACGCGTTCCACAACCCGCGCCGCCCGCCGCCGCAGAGAGTTGGAGCCGAGTCGACTCGCGAGCCGTGCGCGCGGTATCTTCGATCGAGAGCATGCGCGCGCGAGCGGCTACGACGCCGCGCAGCTTCGAAGAACGTGCCATACATACATTCCCATACGTACGTTCCCATACATACATACATACATACATATGTACATGCATACCTATATATAGCGAATACACGCGTATAACATACCTGTTGCTTTCCCCGTGCAGCGCGCGACGCGATGGTAGCGTCCAACTAGATCACCGGCGGATATGGGCCGTTGCTGTGGTTCCGCGTTGTATCCCGATACGATGCAGGACCGACTCGATCCCCCGTTGACGTTGCGCGCTCGTCGGAATGATCCGCGCGAACAAAAAACGACCGAAAGCTCTCTCCTTTCGATTCTCGTGGCGAGCGAAAATCCTCGATTCAAGTGTCACGAGCGATTCCGCGCGCGCGGTGGCGTCTCGCATCGCCGGCAATCGCGAGACGACGTCGTCCTCGGCCGCGCACCTGCACTCGCACTTGTCGCCGCACCGCCGCACGGCCGCGATCCCCGACAACACGATGTGTCTCGCGTCAGAATGCTGCCGCGTCGCGGATTCACTACCGATCGCGCCGCGCAATGTCGAAGGATAACGATCGAGGCGAGCGACGATGACAACAACCCGGGCATCCTCGCGGCATCACCGGGAAAGAAGATAAACGTTTTTTTTTTTTTGACATTCACAAGTCAGAGGACCGAACGTTCGAACTCGGCACGCGCGCTCCTCTTCTTCGCTCCGCGTCTTACGTTTTTCTCTCTCTTCAGCATCGCGTCACGCGTACCACCACACAACACGTATGAATTGTACAACAGTAGTCACCTGCCGAATTCGAGTGCGATTCGGCTGCACCGCTGCAACTTCACCGCGGAAACAAGCAGCGCCGGCCGCGTTCGAAAAGCTCTCGATTGAGAGATCGTTGTTTGCGCGTAATACTCACATCGCGGAAATCATTTTGTTTCAATTGATACGTAAAATCGACGATACAATCCGCGGGTCACGATTGTGGAGTGTGCAAATAAACAGGTAAAAAAAAAAAAAAAAAGAGAAAACAAAACACACGGCGGATCGCGATTATTTCGTGAACCAAAAGAGGGCGGACGCGCGCGCGCGGCATTCAGAGACGATCGGGGCACCGGTGTGCCCTTCGCTCTGTGCACACGAAGTGTGTTCGCCGCACCGTGATCGCGCACCGATGTACCTCTTGCCGAGGGTGCCTTGTTCGATGGCGTGCCAACACGAAGAGAGTCGAGTCTGACTGGCCGCCGAGATGAGGCCCAACTCCCCACTTCCCCGGACGCACTTCGACTGGTCGTCGTTTCTCTCCTCGCGTCGATCTTCCTCCCCTCCCCGCAAATGCCACTGGACGTTCTCTTTACTTCTCTCCCTTCTCTCCGACGTCGATCGCGACTCTCTGTGCTCTCTCTTTCGCATCATTGTATCTCCTCTCTTCGTCGTCGCGCGCGAACCTTTCTTCCTTCATTCGCTTCTCTCCGTCGTCTCGCACGCGGATTTTCACTCGCGATCGTAATGAACGTGCGATCGATCGTTTGCGAGTCAATAGTTCGCGTGTTCGATTCTACTCGCACTTAACCGCCTGCCTGTTTGCGCGCATTTCGCGGAAAGTTGTCAAGAGTGGTTAAAGAGAGAGAGAGAGAGAAAGAGAGAAAGAGAAGACTGATCGATTGATCGCAACCGCGCGAGGTTCGATTCTGAGAACGTTGATTATTTTCTATCGAAGATCGACCGATCTCGCTTATTTTTATATCGCCATTTTGTTACCAAATATTAGACGTAACAATAGTATTATATCATAAACATTTGTAGTTAAATTGAGCGATAAAAAAAACATCAGAAATAAAAAAAGTTGAGCCAATTAGAATAAAAAAGGCTGTTAAATTATGTAATTTTCTGTTGTATATTTATTTTTCAAACATTTCGATCTTTGAATCGTGTGAAAGCGGTTTGTCGGGACTGCTATTTAAATATGCGCACATTTATTCATCGATGAAGATTCCAAAGAGCAGAAACGTTTGAAAATATGTGTACAAACACACACACACACACACACACATACTCAAGAAAAAATTACATAATTTAACAACCTGTTTTGCTCGAATCGGCCGACTTCTTCGATTGTGGTTTATTTTTATTCAACGAATGTTTTGACTGTTTTGTTTGAGCGAAACAAAGTTTCATATACTTTCTTAAAATTACAAATATTTCGTAAAGATGTTTAAGAAAAATACACGTTATAAATAACGCGCGTAATAAAAATGTTTAAATCAAAAATTGCGCATCGCGCGTATACTTACGTTTTCGAAGATACAAAGGTTATAAACAAGTGTGATCGAGTCATTTTCTTTTCTTTCGTCTGTTTTTTAAGCATAATTATCCTGTTTTCTTTTTTCCCCTCGTACATTTCAACATTAACTTCTCACTTCTTCCTTCCTGCTCCGGTTCTCTCTTTTACTATTCTATTCCCACGCTTAATATTCCGCATATATTGCCTTCCCGCCATTTTCTTCGTTTCCCACTTACCGCTACTTGTTCTTATCCGCGTGTGTTTTAGTACGATGTAATTAAACCGCAAAAAGATACGTCAAATTCATTAGAAAATAAGACCACCGATATCGATTTAATTGCTAATAAAATATCAAGATTTTTAATTATTCTAGATCTCTCTCTCTTTTTTTTAATTAGCATTGCTATAAACTTATCAGATTTGTACAAATACGTAATTCTGTATTTAAATTTGTATTGATACATGTATATATAGAGTCTCGCATATATCTTCGGTCAATAAGTAAGATTAACGATTCTCTCGAAGATGTTTTTAACTTTGAAAAGCGATTCTTCAAACGTAGTAATAAAAAATAAATTACAATAATAAAAAAAGTCGTCCATGAATATGCATAATGAATACACATTATCTGGTGAAAAAAACTGCCCGATATAACACAGTATCCAAAGGTAAACATTACAGTGGAATTTTACCTTCAGAGAGAAAGAGAGAGAGACAGAAAAAGCGAGAAGATACGTCAAGCAAAAAGCTCTGAATTCTAATTTGAAAAGTTTTACGTGAAAATCATTTTTTCCAGCGAGAAACAAATCTAAATTCGATTTTGCGTACGTACATCAGGTGCAATCGTGTGGTACAGATTCGTCTGCGATCGACCGTCACCGACCATCGTCGGCGATGCTCGCGCGACCACGTGACCCACGTCGCAAAACATGGCGAGGAATCGCGACGAATATGGCTGCCGCGTGTTACGAAAGAGCGGACGATTTCTCGCGGGGAAGCTGTTTCCCTATTGTTCAGAGAACCGCCGTGCCGTCGCCCGCTCTTGTTAATCAGGCTCGGTGGTGCGCGTCGTCACGATGGTTTACAACATCAAGTGGGTCATACCAAAATTACGGAATCCGTCTCGATTGTGGAACATCGCGAGCAGCCTAACCTTTGCCGCAGTGGGCATTTTCTCGAGAATTATCATGGGTAAGCAATTTTCTTCGCACGCCGGTTTTTATCCGACGCGTATACAACGCGCGATTTGTGCGGAATCGTTTGAACAATTATAGTTCGCGTATGTCGTCGAGATTGTCAAGTGATGACACGGTGATTGTGTGTGTGAAATGAATGCTTTTTTATATTCGTACAGATTGCCATTTGCGCGTTTGTCATGTACCTAGTTCAATCTATCATCGCGCGAAGGTTAATTAAAAATATATGTATATGATCCATGACGTCTCTCACATTACAAATTGTTATCGATGATATTCGTCTAAGTGTTATGATCACGTTACCGTCGTAGCATATAAACGTACGAGAAGATATTACGCGATCTAAAGATCGTATTCAAAACGCATGTGATGTTTATAGCAAAATTATAAGTGACAACGTTTGCAGAATATACAATAAGAGTGTAATACAATCGAGATGTTTAGAAACTCTGATTTTTGTTATATTGCGGAGACTATGCGTCATTGCCAATTATGCGTCTTTTTTAATTATTTAAAGCTGTTTTGTTACATATTTCATATTTAGCTTATGTAATAATTAAATTATATAAAGAAACTCAGTCGAGAAATGCACATATATGTTAGGTGAATAATAAGCGATATAAAAGTTTTAATGTAAAAAAATGACTGTAAAGTAAGAATTAAATATTAAATAGTAAGTGAGGTGAGTGAGTGTTTTTCATAGCTGTTTGCTGGTTTCTTTGACGTCAATGAAAATAGATTGTATATTTTTCTTTTACGATTTAAAGTTTAAAGGAGAAGATGCGCGTGCACGCGCGCGCGCGCGCGTACTTTGACATATTTACATTTTGAATGTTAGGTCATTTTTAACACACTGTTAAAATACTTGAATAAATTTAACAAGAATAAAATATATGATTTTTTTAAATAAAATATATAATATTAAAGTTTATGTTATACGTATTATTCAAATAAGTGAATGTCTAATTTATCATGAATGATTAATTTATTTACTCGTTTCAGCTCGTTTTATTAGTCTACTTTTGTTGTCCTTACGGTGTTAGATCGCGTTACAAAACAATTGTGCACTTTAGCATAATTGTTTTGTAACGCGACGATTTTTCTCGGTAGTAATATCGTTCATTATGAGTTTTTTTAAATTACTTTTGTCATAGCTAAGAGTTACCTATTGTTAACTGTAATTGCAAACAAGCATTAGCAAGTATAACTGTGCTTATGTAACAATCTAAACGAAGCAAATAATTACGGATATTATACGCACTTAACTCTATACCGTAACGTAAAAAAAACACGCGATACTTAAGTGAAGATCGCAATATATTGAGAGAGATGGTTGATTGAATACATTCAGATTAAGTTATTTCAAATACAATTTTCCATATTAGGGTAACTGTCCCTATTAGTGTGCCTGTCCCGATTAGTGTGCCTTTATATTTAAATAAATATTACAGAAAAACAAGTAAAAATAAATAAGTAGAGTATTTTTTTATTTATAGTTATGATATCAATGGATGTTTTAAAATAGTTCATTTTACATTTATAAATATATAAAGTATAGTAAATATTTTTTAAAAATTTATACTATGATTTCGTCAGATAAACCAGCTTTTCTTGTCCAAAACCTTAAGGAAAAGTCACCGTTTATGAGTATATAATATTTAATATTGAATGATTTACAACAGTTAAAATGTACTTTACGTAAGAAAAGGGTTTGATTTTGCGAAAAAATGCAATTTAAGACACTTTAAAGCATTTTATTAGCAATAAATGGTGTTTTCACAAACAAGGACAAGATTTCATGGCCTGTCCCTATTTATGTACTTCAGCCGGCTGTCAAACGTAACCTTACGTTTCTATAGCAGTGTGAAAGTGATGAAGTGATGAAGTTTTAATAAACTAAATCTAAAATATATATTTTGTATTTTTCTTTCAATGAACTATTACTCTATTTATTAGTCATTGCTTTGCATTAAATTATTAAAACAATCTTTTTTAAATATTTAACATTGATAGTTATCATTACTAGAAATACAAACATATATACATTTGTTTCATGTAGTTTTGTAACATTTATTTAACTAAAACTTCATAATTATGAACAAATACACAAATAGGAAATTTATAATTTATATTTATAATTTGAGATGGACACAAACTGTGTGAGGGCTCACAATTAGAGACTAGCACACAAACTGGAGGCACATAATTTGGAATAAGCACACAAATTGGGAGCACACAATTTGGGGCTGGCACACAAACTGGGAGCACAGAAAAATGTTCAATGCCTATCGAAAGGGCACATAAATAGGGACAAAAAGTCTTTTTTAATTTTAATTAAAATTAATTAAATATATTAATATTTTGGGCTAATACAAATCTTATTGTCAAAAGAAGAGTTTAAAGAATCGATATAAATTTTGAGCAAGCTCATTTGAAGTCAGTTAATTGAGTATTTATTCAAAAAAGAGAGCACGCTTGCTTAACAGCACACTAATAGGGACAGTTACCCTATATATACAGTGGGTTCAAAAAATATTTGTACGCCTACATTTAATAATAATGCACATAATGGTTTGGAGTTGTATGTCTTATAATGAAGTTGGAAATTTAGCATTTATCGAAGAAATTACGAATGCTCGAATGCATATCGATGTGTCGAGAGATAATTGAATACAGATTGCAAGATTAAAAACTTGTTTTGTAATAAAAACCTTAAGAGAATTGTGTATTTCCTATAAAATACATGAAAAAACACAAGTGTACAAATATCTTTTTGGCATTCAAATTTATGTATTTCCTTTATTAATTTTTCATAACGCATTATTAAAAAGTGTTACTCAGCACATAATCGACTATTAATGAATACTGTTTTTGTTAATGTATCATTTGTTTATATAAAGATATTACACAAAAACTAGGTGTACAAATATTGGATCCACTGTACACGCGTATATATACATTTATGCATACTTATATGTAAGGTTCTTAAGCCAATATGTATATTTTTATTTAAAACAAGCACCAAGATATACACAATACTAAATAGCAAAGTTTCGTTGAAATCAAAATGTTTGCGTGGATTTCGAGCTATCTACATTCGCGATCAGTAAAAACTGTCTATTTTGCATTTCAGAATGGCTGAACAAGACAACAGTATACAACAAGGACATTATCGTACGCGCCTTAGACTTTCGACCGAAAAATGTTCCGCTCATTACCGTATCTAATCATCACAGTTGCTTCGACGATCCGGGCATATGGGGTAAACTTTTTCTTTCACGTTGTTGTTTATATTAAATAACTTTCGGCGTACGTATGTAATAACATATCATCAATTACTTCCTTCTCGACCGTATTCTCGACCGGTCACGGGGTTCAGACTACGTTGCGCGCGTGGTTTACTTTATTATCTGAAATCGAGAGAGAAATTAAAAAAAGAAAAAAAAATAAAATACGCACCGTGTATACGTACGAATCGTTCGACATGTAAAACGGCGACGAGTCCATTTGCCGCCTAATAAAACCGAGGTGCTCTTTACGTTTCCGGAGCGCAATCAAAGCCGCGATACATAAAACATAAGAATAAAGTGCGAGTACAATCGCAAATATTTTGATAATGATATTGGCTTATGTTTCAAATACGTCTAATTACAACACAAAAGTAAAAATAAAATTTGCAGCTGGTTTTAAAAATAAAATTTTTGAACGTGTAAAAGAAAAAATTGTATTCTCGTAAAATAAAAATCGTATCTCGGTAAAGTTTAAAAAAAAAAATACATCTATGACAAAAAATAAATATAAAAACTTAATTATTCAATGATAATGAGGTGATATCTGTAAAAATTCATTAAAGGTTAATAGAGATACGAACAGTAAATACTAAAGAACAAATAGAGATAAGCACGAATAATATAATATGACACATGAGTAATTTTATTTTTTATTTATCAATGTTTTGTTACAAACATAGAAAGATGTTTTTCGGAATTGAACCGCGTTAGTGTCATTTTTATACCGACGTTTCGTGAACATTTCAACTTACTTCATCAGGGTTTCAAGAGCAGCCTGATACCAATGTTTTGTTGTTTATTATTGCGTGATTTTTCAATATTAAAGAAAAAAATAATTACTGCGTATTTCAAATTAATTTTATTTCTTTGATGTATTTGTTCTCGATTTCGTTATATATTACATAATAACGCATTTGCTTTACAAAATAATTTTTTTGAATTTTTCCACAAACGATATAGTTTGGTCTATGTTCTCGATATCCTCGATATATTCATTTCTGTGTCTTTGTAGACATATTTTTCTTTCTCAGAACGATGCCGCGATCAAATGAAAGAATTTAAGACAGAAAAATCTCTGAACTCATTTAGCGACCCTGGACTTCCGACACGGGATGAACCGACATAAGACACGATGGTCGCTCGCCGCGCATGACATTTGTTTCACAAATGTCTGGCATTCCTACTTTTTCATGCTCGGTAAGTGCATACCGGTCGTCAGAGGTGCTGGCGTGTATCAGGAAGCCATGGACTTCTGCATTGAAAGATTGGCCCGTGGCGAGTGGGTACACGTCTTCCCCGAAGGAAAAGTCAATATGCTTAAGGAGAACATAAGGTTTGTCGAGTCGTATTTTCTTTCTTAAATCTTTACCCCAAAATCTGTATTTGACAGTTTGAACTGCGCACGCATTTAGAATTCAATATCAATGTTACACATTTGTAATTTGAAAATTTGAAAATTTTTATCCCGCAATCGTAAGAAAAATGGATTTAAGAAAAGTTTCACAAATCAGTTCGCATAATAAGTTTTCCGCGCGTGTGCATTATAAATTGAGTTCTTATTAAACGATCAAAAAGACGTTTACTTCTGAGAAGTATTTCAAACCTATGAAAATAGTTTGTTAAAACTTTAGATGTAAAGAAACGATTGCAAAAGAATGTGCGTGCGTGTTGTAACACTTGTTTATCGAAATTCTGCTCAGCGAGCTTTGAATTGCTAATATATTGTTTAGGTTGAAATGGGGCGTGGGTAGATTAATATTAGAGTCGCCCGTCACGCCTATAGTAATTCCTATTTGCCATCTTGGTATGGATGAAGTACTTCCTAACGAGCCGCCGTATATATTTCGAACGGGAAAAAGGGTTACCATGAATTACGGTGATCCTATAGATTTCAGTGGATTGCTGGCCGATCTGCGAGCATCAAAAGCTAGTGAGATGGAAGCGCGAAAAGCGATAACCGATCGCATTCAAGAAGAGCTCATAAGGTTGTACTTAAATCATCAAATAGTATTAAATAAAGATTGAAGAAAAAAAAATGGTAAAAAAAGAACAAACAATATTTAAATATTTTCAGATTGAAAGCGGCAACGGAAAAGCTTCACACTAGATTATGACGAAGATGATCCTTTCACCATCGTTCCTCCATCTAGCCTTAATTTGCCAAAACTTAAAGCGATTCGATTAACACGTGATACAAAAAGTGATATATATATAAACCATCTGCATAAGAAATCAGATTTCCCTTTTAAAGTATACGTTTGTATTACAATGATATCTGACATTTTTGAGTTCAGTAATTTGTAGAAAATCGCGCAAAAAATATTATTTCATTTTTAATTATTCTTTTAACTCTCTTAAGAGAGAAAAGTCATCCAATAGGCGCACAGAAAGTGCGCACTTTCTTCCAATTGTATTTTTTTTATAAATTCTGCCATCTAAAAACAATCCACATAGTCTCTAAATGAGTAAAAATTTTAATTTATTCCTTAATGGTTACTTTGCAAGAAAGTGTAAAATTTAAAATTATAACTCTATCAGAGAAAGTAATCAGTTGTGAAAAACTAAGAAGCTCCGCGATATATATGTATATTACATATATATGTAAAATTCCTTTGAGGAGTTATACAATTTCTCAGATGAGATATACTACATCTTGTGTATAGTATATTTATATAAATATACACACATATATATATATACATACATATACAGGGTGTCCCAGAATTGCCGTACAATTTCTCGTAAGCAGGTAGAAAGAGTAAAACGGAATCGAAACCTGAACCATTTTTTTCTATTATTTATAATAAAAGAGTAATTATTGAGTAAATCAGGCCAATCAGCGCCGACTTTTACCCAGGCGCACGTCAGTGAGCCGCGCGCTTGGTGTGTGTGAGCGCTCACTGACGTGCGCCTGGCTAAAGGTCTGCGCTGATTGGCCTGATTTACTCAATAATTATTCCTTTATTATAAATAATAGAAAAAAATGGTTCAGGTTTCGATTCCGTTTTACTCCTCCTACCTGCCTACGAGAGATTGTACGGCAATTCTAGAACACCCTGTATATATATGTGTGTGTACATAACATGAACAATCGTAATTATTGCGGTTTTATGATGATTGTCAATAAGTTTTTTATAGTAAGCGAAAATTACGTAATACAACCGAAGTTTGATAATGTAACTATAAAAGCTGTGTGACAGTACCTCATCTATATTTTATTTTCAAATAAAAGTTAGTTATATTATTATTAAAGGACGCGAGTGTAGCACACGTGGCCATAATTAATTGTATGCTCAGCGTTTCAAGAACTGTGCCAATTAACAATCTTGTTTTATCGAGAATCACGAATAATTAAGCGCGTTTCTGCTCGTAATTAAGAATATTATATAGCGCGTGTTTTTCGTGTTTCGAAAGATTCACATTTTGTAATAGTAGTAAAGTTGAAAAATTATTGACAAACGTGAGACTGAAGTATGGACAGGAAATGATTTTGATATTTCAATAGTTCACGAAAGATATTCATTCGATGAACGATAACAATAAATGATTACCGTTGGAATATTTATTGCAGTACATATCTAATGTTACAACAGCTGTTATCATGACAATCGCATATCCACGTACGTTTCCTCGCGTGTGCATATGTACACAATGTTGGATACAGATACTTTTATACTATACACATACATGACTGCTATCAAAATTTTGAAACTATTCAAACGTGATATATAAATTTATATGTATCATACTTGTTGAATATATCAAGTATTAAAATATCGTCTCTCTCGTCTGAAATAAAATTAAAAATTTTGTTTGTTTTCAACATCTCTCTCTTATCAGTAAACGTAAAATTTGTTCCCTTCCTTACAAATACATAAGATTTCTAATATAAATTTCTGCTATTATATATTTATACACACTATCTGCTCACAAATATGTATTCAAGGCATATGATAAATCTCTAAAGTAACACAAAAATCATGTCAGTTATACAAAAGACTCTTTTAGAAGTTGTCATTTGTTCCTGAAGATTTTATCGCAATATGTTACAGATTAAAAGCTTTCACACATTTTTATTAGTTACTTCATGCTTTTAATGTAACATATACACAAACAAAGAATTCTTTCTGGTTCAGATTCGGGATAGTTGCTATTTATTTATTTTTCAGAATCAATTCCGATTTTTGTGATGTTTTCTTTTTCTTTTGAAAAAAAGAAAAAAATAATAATCGGAGTCGCTCCAAAAGTTTTATAATAGATACTCTACTGATATATTTTTTTACTCTACTGATGTTCTTTTGACTGATCGTGCAAACAACTTTTTGGAAACAGTAGGCCACAAAGGGTAAAGATGAATATTTTATTCTATTTGTTTGTTTGTTTTTTCAGAGTGTATACGTTTTGTTATTATCATTATATCCGCGCCAGAGACCATATTCAATGACTCAATATTTTACACTATTTTTGTCACATATATCTTTGAAGACAGCGATATATGTAAGTATATTAAAAGATGTGATTATATATATTACAATTTCGGTTACACGAACAAATGGATTATACAGGACACATACATGACTGTTCTCGATATATATATATAGAAATAGTTTACACTATGACCTAATATGCTCTGGCATCATATATATAATTATTTATCAATACGAAGATCGCAAATCTCTTGGCACAATTTTTTTTTAATTCACAAAACTTGGACATTCCGATTTTACAAGCAGTACAAAAGCAGCATGCGATCCTCGCATTGTATCAAACGAGAACTATGTATATGTATATTTTATATATATACATTATATGTATATATATATAGTAATTATATATATGTATATACATATATATATATATAATGTATATTTATCACATAAACTTTGAATATAGACAAAATATTCGATAAGTATGTAACGGGAAAAAATTTATGTAAATACGCGCTGTAGTTGCTATCACCTCGTTGTATCACTGCCTTTTTCTTTGTTTTTTTTTGTATGTATAAACAAATTTAATACATGTATATACACATTATACAAAAAGAAAAAAACAAGTCAATAATGAGTCAATATAAGAATCGATCGCGAAACTTGGCCCGCTTTAAACAAATTGCAATACAAAATTCTATATCGCTATTGTGTTGTATAAAAGGGAGATATGTTGGACTAGAGAATTCCACTTTGTTTTTGTTTTGTTAAATAATCACACACGATTATGTTCTTGGCTCGTAGTCTCGATCAGTCGTAATATCAAATAAAATAAATCTAAAAATGATTTAAATTGCTCCCAGAGTAATAATTACTATACATTTTCTGTAAATTAGATAATATACAATTATACATCTCTATTTACTATATTTTATCCGACAGAGAGTTGTAATTTAAATAGTCTAATATATTTATATATATATATATATATATGTACATATTGGAAGAATGCGATGTAAAAGACAATTCGTAAAAGTTTTCAAAGCATTATTTTTGATTGGTTGTTCTACAGTTTAGGCTTGTTCCTGGACGGCAGATCTAAAACGGATAAAGCAAGCGTCGCGTTTTTATAAGAATAGGCCAAGTAGGATTAATACCGCGCGATGTGTATCACATATTTAATACATTGTACTCTTGCTATAACGCTTCAAGCTAAACTTTTGTTGATGTAGCGAGCATCGATGATATATCGGCATTTTAATATTTCATGAATATGCAAGTGTCGCGATCGAAAGGAAATAAGATTCGGTCGATCCCATTAGGAATCACAAAGAGCATACAATACAGCTATCATCCAAACGATTCCCTTGTATATATGACGTAATAATAATCTACAGGTACATTATTTGTTTCTAATCAAGCAAGAAAAGTTTTTGTCAACAATTACACAATCATATCAGGTTTAAAACACATCCGCATGGCATCTCTCTTCACACGTTTATTTACCTAACGATGTCCGTTTGTGATCCTTCGCAATCTAGTCTTGTCGAAATTGCAAATACTTCCAAGTAGAGCAGCACGGTCACTCGATGATTTTGGTACATTATTTGTTGCACTGCCACCAGATGCTTCAGGCGGTGGTGACAACAAAGGTGGTGGTGGCGGCGGAGCACCTTTGCCAGGAACTGCATTTCCTTGCGGAATGTCCACTGAGCCTTTTACGGAAAAATTTAAAATGTTACGGTAGATTCACGTCGCAGCACAGCACATTTCATTCTAAAAGACTCGACAAAAAATTGAGTCTAATTTGTTTCGGAAAGATAAGATACACAGCTAATAGCACATATGCGACAACGCAGGCAAGATAAAAAAGAAATTAAAAGTAATATGCACAAAATATGCTACGAGAAAAGAAACCGAAAGCGTATACTTTGTCTTTACACAGAATATCCGCAACGCAATGTGATGAGGAAAAATTATCTTATAAAAAAACGAATAGGAGGATAAGTGTGAAAAGTTATGTCAGATATTAGGAAGATGCTCGAATGACCTACGTGAAAGGAATAACCTCAGTACGCGCCATCAACTTTTGTGTCCAGCTGATCAAGAGATGTAGAAACATAAATGTCAATTAGCGTCAATGACAAGGACAGCAATGGGAAGCATAATGACTTACGAAGCGACGGAGGAGTCAACGTTCCAACGCTGGTAGCTGTGGAAGTACTGGTTGGACTATCCGAACGTTCTGGACTCTTACCGTTTATTTGCTTCGCTCCGTTCGCACCCAATTGCAACGCAGAACGTTGTTCTTGAGCCAATTTTTGTTCTTTTTTCTGCAGATTAAAAGTCGTCTCTTAATTATCGCAATCATTTCGTTTAATTACAATTAATTCTGTTGTGTACTCACAAGTTTGTGCTTCCGCTTTTTCATCTCTTCCTCGGAACTCATCATTTCTTGAACCTTAACGAGCCTCTTCTGATGTCGGACAACTTTTTGTTCGTCGCGAAGTCGTTGTTCTGCCTTATTCACAGCTTCTTGCAAGGCTTCTTTCAGATGGCTACTCAATTTAAAATACGGCTTTTCCACGGTGGCCGCTAACGAGGCAGCGGCATGCCTCGCTGATTCGAAAAACGGATGTTCCAACAATCGAGCCACCGTTGGTAGATCTTGTTTCAAAGCTTCCGGTGATAAGATAATCTCTAATAAATTTTTCAAATTTGTTTCGCAATGCGGTAGATCGGAGCATGTTGCTTCTAAGAGCGGACGTCCAAACGTCATTTCGTAAAGAACATGTCCAAACGAATACACATCAACTTGAGTCTGTTGATCAAAATGTACGTGGAAAAATAACAATTTTCTGTATAAAAAAACTGGAAGAAAATATAACTTTATCACTTCAAAAAAATGTATGTATTACCGTAGCATGTAGTTTGCGTCTTTGCACTACGTAAGGCCGATAAAATGCTGGCAATCCTAGGAGTCCATTTTCTATATCCAACAATTTAGCGCATTTTGGTGTTAAAAAGATATTGCCGGTATGCAAATGTCCGTAAGGTAATCCCTTTTCATGAAGAAATCCCAGAGCTTCTAATATCTACAAGTTTCTTGTTATAAAGAGAATGTCAACATATGTTTGCCACAACATATTTTTATGTACACAAAAATTATTAACCTGATAACCATACGTAGCAATTTCCTGTGTGGTAAGTGATTTTGTTTGTTTCGGATTTCCATACTTCTTGATAAATGGCTGCTTAGGCTTAGTAATGCACAAGATATCACGCAATGTGCCCATTGGATAGAAATTTCTGATCATTAAAGCTCCATTGTCCGTAACATGCTGATGCACTATCGGTTCGATGTAACTGTGTCGTAAGGATCCTAAAGTTTTGAAAATGCCTTGTATATCCTTATCTTGTAAATGTTTGTCAGGACCGAAATCGACCCAAGCGAGCAAGAGTTCTTGTTTGGGATTCTGTCGATTTTTCACCGTATAATAATGTTTCCTCAGTCGCCATCCCATATCAGGGATAGGCTTACATACTTCGAAATTAGCATCACTCCGCAATGCCAATGACACTTGCTGCAATGCAATTTCTAGAAAAAAAATTAATTTATTACATATTCTTTCGTAAAAAAAAAAGCAGTTTTTCAATCCCAATAAAACTTACCATGTAACGGTGCTTTATAATTTTCAGGGTCAAAAAATTTTTTTGCAGGAAGCGAAGACGCCAGTATAGGATTCATTAGTACTATATTTAGATAATTCTGAAATGAGAGAAATTTATCTTTGTTACACTGATAAAAGATATATATATATATATATGTGTGTGTGTGTGTGTGTATATATATATATATATGTGTGTGTGTGTGTGTGTGTGTGTGTGTGTGTGTATGTGTATGTGTGTGTATTGTATACATATATATTACTTCAAGACAAACCTGCAGTGCTATTTGTCGTTGAGCTATAAAGTCTGGCTCCATATTACCAATAATTCTTTTAGGTGGTAATGGCAGGTCAAAGCCAGATATAGATAAAGCTGCATTAAGCTGTACAAAGTCATTGTAACGTCTGCTGACTCTCCAAGATCTTTCAGGAAGAGGACCTCTTTGTACTTTGATTATATATTCCTAAATGTACAAAACAAAGTTCAAAAACACAAACATGTAACTAATAATATATATTAAAATATAATGTACAATTTTTGCATATAAAGCTAAGAAATGTATGTGTGTGTGTGTATAATATATATATATATATGTGTGATAACAAAATTATCGTAAATGTCAATATAGTAAAATTGAACTTTTGCATTTACAACTTTCATTGAGTGCGACAAACAAATGAAAATAATTAAAATAAGAATGAGGAAAGAGAGTGAGAGGAGAGAGAAGACAGAAGAGAGAGACAGAGAGAGACATATATAGACAGAAAGAAAAAACGGAATACAGGAGCGCACGCACATACCGTATGTCCGTCGATAGTTCTTGCATTTTCGATGACACTGGTCAGCTGCTCCGTATCATCCAACAGCACTTTATTCGTATATCTCTTCTCGAATAAAGCCATTGATCATTAGTCCAACGCGAGGCAAGGCCCGTATAGGGCCGACAGCGAATGTCTCTCAAACAGCTTCCGCGCGTCGCCATACATGACGCGCTTCTGCTTCATTTCAACATCGACGGACGCACACTGCGGCACTTATCGCGGAATGTTGTCAACGTCAGCGACTCGGGACGCACAACAGCAGGGCATAAGAGAAGAAGGAAGAAGAGGAAACAGCGCGATAATTTCTAATCACTTCAAACAGAAAGGCTTGAAAAACGTTTTATCAATCTCTCTGCAAGATCTGACAGTACTCACGGGATGAGCTTGTCAGTACTGTGACGTCACACCGTCGCGGACAGGTGGAATCCTAGGGAAATTGTACTACTCTTTCGACATTCGCGCACTTAACACTTTTCATCCGAAACTATGACCAGAGAGAAACCTGAGAGCGGCCATCAGGCCCATAAGAGAATGTGTAATCACTTTTCCGCGGGTGACATCCGTTTGACCATGGTACGATTGACCACCGTACGATTGAGTACCGCTACATAAGGCTATCGCACACAAAATGACAGGTGCATATGCATAACATAGGACTATTTGGGCCAATAAGAATGTAGCATAGGAGTACGGAAGTTCCTGCGCAGACATCGATTTTTCCCGTCTAGTTCTTGTGTTATTCCATCTCTTGGCTTTTAGTTAATGCCCGCTACTATCGAGAGTCTTGGCTACAATAAAGCCCCTTGCACAATGGAAGGAATAGCGATAGCGATAGAAATAACACAGTTTTAGACACAGAATTCCAACTCGTCGGAAATTTTATCGCTATTGCTTATTCTGATTTTCTGATCTGCATTGATACATGTGTATTTTTGTATGTTAGATTTCGCTGTTCCTACCGTTATTTATAAATATAAACTCTTTACAACTGGTATTATTTCTATCGCTATCGCTATTCCGTTCATTGTGCAAGGAGCTTAACTTGACAAACCTTAAGCCCGTTCTACATTGATCGCAAGCGCAAACGCAAGGAATAGATCTCGTAGAATTGACCAATCACGCTTGTCAATTGGCTGATTTGATCAATACGATTAGTCAATTCTACCAGACCCATTCCTTGCGTTTGCGATCAACGTAGAACAGGCTTTATAGAAGACGCGTTATTGCAGGCAGGAGCTCGGAGAATTAACAAACTCAACTTCAAAAATAGCACAAAAATAAAAATATAAGTCTTTAAATATGCACACATTGTTATGTATATTTTTATACATAAAAGTATATAACAGCTTAATCTACTTAATCTTAATTTATCTAATCAACTTAATCTATTTTGGTTGTACTAACAATATTAACATTTTTATTTTTTTATATATAAATTTCTCACATAATTTATCCCATTACAAAATCGAAAAGTTTTGGATTTACAAATGTGCCTTTTTTATCAGCCAGATAGAAGAACCATTTCTCTTGCACCTTGATTGCTAACTGCATTCCAATATCTGTTCTATGTCCATAGCTTCTTACCTTAAAAGCAATATCATTAGTGAGAAATAACAAATAATAATAAAAATCTAAGAATATATATTTATATCTGTATACAATTCTAAGCGATCAATTGGCACAGATATGTCTATCGATGTTTTAAATAATAATATAAGTTTTTTCTTCTTACCGTTCCTGTTGGTACTGTTATGACACTGTCCTTCTTCCAGAAATTGTAAGTGACAAGTGAAATTGTTTTACCACCTTTATTTAAGATGATATACTTAATAGTACGGGATAAGAGAAGATGAATCATAAGATACATACCAATACCTTTAGACAAATATAACAAATAAATATTAAAATATAGAGGAACAAAATAGAAATTATAAAAAGAAATAAGAAGTCTCTTACCTATCGTAAGTGATAACCAGAAAAGGCCGAGCCGCAATCCATTTTCTCTTATATATTCTAAGAATGTTTTGTCAGTGGTAAATATATCAAAGAACTTCGGTGTATATGAATACACAGCCAATACAGACCAACCAATTAGCTGTCCAATTATAAAAATTCGCATATTCCGAAAATAATTCTTGTTTTCATATTTGTATAAAATTACATTGTTCTGTACATTGAGATTTACATCAAATGACATTTGTCGATGTTGTGTTAAATTTTTTGGTAATTTGTCTGCCTTGAGAAAACTTGCTGAACATGCTGATCCAGCAAAAAATCTAAATTTTATTACTTGTGTTACTTTGCAGGAAAATTATTTATTAATTATTTATATATATAATTACAATAAATTTTATAATTTCGTATTACCTTTTACTTGCTAGACATGTTTTAGCAGCTGTTCCTGCTAAAAATATATTCGTATTGTATTTAAAATATCTTCGTGCTATCCTGTGAATTGGTTGCATTTCAGCTATTAAGGTTTTAAGAATAACAGGATGCTTTAAAATCGCACTCAACATTTTGTAACGGTCTTTCCTTTATATTGTTACACAAAGCTAATTTATAAACACTTTACTTCCTACAAAAAAAAAAGAGAAGTTCAGTTATTTTATATCTCATTTATTTCGTAACGCGAGTCTATAAAAAAACGTTGCTTATTTTTTATTTACTACATGATCACGTATAAAACTTGTGATTTTAAATAAATAATTTCGTGTATACTTGATGTATAATTTCTGTTGATAATTATTTCGAAGAAAAATACAAACTATGTACATTTTCAACACACACTGTATACTAGTAGAACCACATTTAAATCAGAGGTTAGGAAGACCAAAACAACTAAAATGTATATATAGGTGGGGACAAAAATAATAAGGAAAGAGAGAGAAAGAGAACACAAATTACAAACTTCAAAATCCGAGTAGTTCGTATGCTCAAAATAGTTGGAATAAGATGTATAAAGAAAAAGAATTGTGCATGACAAAATTATCTTTTGCGATATTCCACACGTATACACATAGGGTAACTGTCCCTATTAGTGTGCCTGTCCCGATTAGTGTGCCTTTATATTTAAATAAATATTACAGAAAAACAAGTGAAAATAAATAAGTAGAGTATTTTTTTATTTATAGTTATGATATCAATGGATTTTTTAAAATAGTTCA